CACACAAGCTTCACAGCACCTGACAGGAGGAGTATGTGCTTACTAGAGCAGCGACACATCCTTTGCTCAAGTCATTGCAAGCCTGCAGGTACCCAGGAGGTTTGGTGAGCCTTTTGTTTCACTGGAAAGTAAAGAGAGCCTTGGGTAGGGTAGCTGACTAATTCAATTCTTACCCTGGAGGCTCCACCAATTATGTGCCACCATTTGGGGAATGGTTGTCACAGTCACATAATCACATTACCTGGGCTCAAACTTGAGATGTCAAGATCATAGCACTCCACCTTATCAGAAAGAGTATATTTTCATGACTGTTGAACCCTGTTTATTGGGGTCCATTTACATCTGCGTTTAGATAATTATAGATGTTGATTGTTTGGGGCAGAATTGTGGAGTTCTTGAGCCACAGCTCTTGTTGTCACCCCTCTAGGTCTTTGTGAACGTGGTCAGTGATGGTGCACAAAAAGACGGTGGGTACAAATAATATTATTTTAGAATGGCTGTTCACTGAATTCAGTCAGGCATCAATTAATCCAGGAATATGTTAAGAAGCCGCTGTTCCTTAAGGTCATACAGTCCATGTACTGTACAAGGATATTTTAAAATCCTACAGCAGAGTTTGATGTGTAGCATCACAATTCAACATAATCTGCACCACACTAATGTCCAGGAGATACCACAGTGAGGAATGACATTAAATGCTGCCTCAGTACCTCTTAATAAAACTTTTCACATATATGCAGGAATTCCAAGAGGATTTAAACAACATTTTTTATATTTACTATTTCTTTTTTCCTTGCAACATGGTTTTGAAAAGATGATACTCAAACCTTTAGCAGGCAGATATTTTTGTCCACCTGATTACCCCACCCTGCTCTCCCTTTATATACAGTGGATATAAAAAGTCTACACACCCTTACTTGAATTGCAGGTTTTTGATTTAAGATTTAAGATTTTAAGAACTAACAGTGACCAAAGATTAAGCACCACTCACTTACAATCACAGTGGTTGTTTAATCTGAAGAGATGAAAAGCAGTTCAGTCAGTTCTTGCATTGATAACATACAGACGATCCCTGAAATTTCAAATTTTGTCAACCCCTGTACTCAAGAGAAAGGCAGAACAAGTCAGCTGACCACAGTATTAACCTCGTCCCATGATCACAATAGTGGAGTCAATTTCTCCAACATTCCAGCCAACATTACAACACTATGCCAAAAGTGTTTCATCTTACCTGAAGCCTATCTAAGGAATAATAGGATCACATGAGTACTGATTTGCCTTTTTTTCTTATTGAAAAATCTGTCCAAGGTTATTAACATTTTAAGATGGTTTTGAATATGTAAAAAATATTTTTTGACCCAAAAGCTTATACAGTATTTCCCAAAGACAGAAAAATCTGATGAATATAGTGTACTGTAAGTTGATGTTTTAAAAGTAAAACCTGGCTGAATATTATATGCATGCAAAATTCTGATCTATATTAAAACACTATACAGTTTTGCTAAAGTTTTTATAAAGCCAAGATGAAGAAAGTTTTTTGTCCTGTGTCTCCTATGTATTTTACCCCATTCCCAAAATACCCTGAAATAACTTTTAACTGATATATTGGGAAAAAAATGTGTAGTCATGTGCAGCTATGTTGTCACAACATAAATTGTGGAGACAACATAAATTGAAAAAACTAACAATAAAACTAACAATAAAAGAACATAATTTTGCATCCATGGTATTGCCAGCTTAAAGTGGGGGTGGTGGTGGAAAGTGAGATAGGATGAGATTGTAGATTTCAGCAGCTATGGCTACTGCTGTGTCAGCCATGGCCAAATAAATCCTTAGACCCTGGAAGCCAGCCAATAGGCAGGTCATTAGTCAGGCTCTAAGAGACTGCACAGTGATGGAAATGAATCCCATCTGCAGGACCTGTGCCACTGTGATCTCAAAATATGCCACCCTGTGAATATTTGTCATTGCGATCAGAATGTTTCATAAAGACACCTTTGCAGAAATCCAATATATACCAACTAAGCAATCCCAACAGGGAAAAAAAAACACACATTTGACATTTCCTACACCTGCTCCCCGTTGCAACTACTGCATTAAAGATTTAACAGGCACATTTTGTCTCAGTGTTTACAGTACTAGTGCTTTCTCACACACCAAACTGAGGAGTTTGGACAGCAGGTACTGTTCACTGTATTGCTACCACCTCTGACTTACAAAACTCTAAAGCATTTATGCAAAAAAGTGGGTATGAACCCAGAGTTAAACTGTCTATACTTATTGCACATTTTTACCTTTATTTAAGCAGATGTACTGGCTGTTGCTTCAGATGTTCCTTTTTTCTAACAGAAATGATATACTGTAGGCTCATAAAAAAACAACTTTTCAATTGAATTTTTAACATTATATTAACTCCTTTTTTGTGGTTGTCAACCGGCTGTGTTTTTCCACCCATTTCTCAATTTATTTCCATGCTCTAATCTATCAATCCTCAGAATTTTAATCAATCAATCAAAGTTTATTTTTCAAATGCAGAACAATACTGCGTGCAGCAGTTATTGCTGGCAATGAAATGTCTTTTCTGCGAGCTCATCAGGGGGGAATAAAAATAAAAATAATAAAATTAAAAGTTACAGAATAAAGTCACATAATAATAGTGCAATAAAAATTTAATTTAAAAAACTCAATATAAATTGAACTGCTACATATCCAGAGTGTATGCAATACATTATGTCCAAATATGCAGTGTGCCAAATACAATGGAAAACTGTATGTCCATGTAAGCTGACCATTTAACAAAGACCATTACGTTGGTTGCTGAAGGTGACTGCAGTTTGGCTGTTTAGCAGTCTTATTGCCTGGCGGTAGAAGCTGTTCCGCATTTTAATGCATTATGCTGCTAAATACTGTAGCCAAAACTTGTATTATACTCAGCAAGGTAACACATCTATTGAATCTGACATCATTTCTTGTATTCAATAGGCTGTTGTTGCCGTGTACAGCAATTAAAATGGCAAGAACTAACTTTGTAAGGACCATGAATACAAGCTTTAAAGATTTCATGGTTAGAAAAATAGTGCACGATTCAGGAAGAGGGGAGAATGACTAGTACAAACAATATTAATGAAGGGCAGTAAACTCAGTGTCAAGGATCTAACAAAAATACAGTATGGGACAATTTCTGGGACAGTTACAGTATTTCAAAAAGAGAGCAATCTCATTAAATCCTGGACAAGGGGGAACCCAAGCTCATTTTGCTTTTACTTTTTTTCTTAGTAAAAAAGTCAGTAGTTTGTTCAAATTAAAGTGAGATGGATGGCCTTAATTTGTGGCATCTCCTGGAGATGAAAGATAAAAGACTGAGGGTCATTTAGAATGGCTCAAACCAGCCTCTACCTTAGGCTTAGGCAAAACCAGTCATTGAGTGGAGAAAAACTGGTACGGTATGTGTTTTGTATTATATATATAATTAAGCAAGGTGATGAATTTGATTGAGGCTTACACACATTAATTCAGCCAAGCACTTGAGTATTGAGAGAAAATGGCAGAAGACCCAGCTGTATTCAGCAACTAAATCTGACCTTTCTTTTTCTGTTAGCTTTATCTCCCCTATCACATTTGATGTGTTTTGAAGATACTCTACAGCTATATTTATACTTTATAGGTTTTTGCAATCCAGTCCTTGATGCAACAGCCCTACACGTGCTGTGGGTCTCATGAATTAATCTGTGGTTTTAGATTCATGTGGAAAAGATAAACTGGTCAAATTGAGCCTTAATTGCATTCATTTAACCTTCTTACTGAGGTCTTTGAGATCTTGTGCCAGACCTATAAAACCTGCTGGACTGATGCCATCAAGGATTGGAATCTAAAATAGTAATACATCTTAAATTAAATCTTTCATTAAAATCTTTAAAAATAATCATAGATATCAATGAAACACAACAGAATACAATATTATTAACTAATGTTATTATTGTTGGCCCCATATCAAAATCTTGGTAACGAATAAATAGCCCAAATGTGGCGAATAAAGCCGCTTTAAACATAAACAACCCCAAAACATTAGGTTAATAAAAAATACAGATATGTGTGCACATTCCCCAAGTCCCTAAAATTCAAAACAGAGGACCCAGGAAAATCTGACCCTGACAGCAAAGCATCACACAACTTAACTCCTGCAAGCTTTACCCTCTTTGATACAGAAAACCAGCAAAAGTACATTTTTGAAGAACACAATGTTTTTGTTAAAAGTAAAGTGTTCAGCTGGGTCTAAACTGCTGTTGAAGCTACTTACTCAATCAGTTGCTATTATGTTTTTTTTTTGAAGAAGAAGGAAAATACCCCTTTAAATTCAAACTAATACCTGCCTCTTTCAGTACATACTGAATGTTTAGACTAAAAGTACTGAAAACTTTTCAATCAAATGTAAAGTAACCCTTTACAATGCAGGTAACTCAGACTCTAATGTGCAACAGACATATTATTGTTAGACACACTCTACACTGTACTAAACAAGAAAAGACCTCAATGTCATTTGATGGGGATATGTTGGTGACCACTTTTTTGTCACTTATAAATTCTGTTAAGTACTATTTCCAACAGAAAGCAACACACAAAATTAATGTAATTGAAATTCAATTTATTTCTTTTTTTCTACTCGTTAGCAGTCATGTCGACAGCACAATCTCTAGATTAAACAACATATCATAGTAGGGCACTCTAGGAGTATTTTGCTCTACTAAAATATGACTGCAGCTCAGTATCCTATTGGAATTAACAACAATGCCTGTACTGTATATTGAATGCCCAGGGGCTGTGCAGGGCCTGTAGATTACATTATGAGAACAACCACACAAAATTATACATTTAAGATACTCTTATTAATACTTCCAACTTCTAATTACATTAGAGGTTCAGAATTCTTCTGTACAGAAGAAGCTGTGATCCTCTGAGGGACTTAAGAAACTGAAGGAGTAAAAGAGGCTCAGTTAACTTACAATATTCATGAGAGTCAGCAGGTACTTCTGAACGTGGTCCTTGCCGTGAAATTGCACCACTGAATCGTCCACCCCCAGCAGCACCTCAATGTTGTAGGTACGATCCACGGCCTGCCTCCGAGACCTCCTGGTCTGGTTCATGTTCTGCTCCACCCCTCTGTACAGGGTCTCGAGGTCGAGGAGACCTCCAAGCTCAACACCTACAGGAGAACGAGGACAGCTCTTGAGGTGCAACGAGGTGATAATGACTCAGCTGATCATTCATTTACCACCTGGCACTCGATCCCTCAAAAGCAAAGCCAAATATACTGGATGTTAAACAAAAGCTTATATTTGTGAAGACTATTTTTTCTGTTTGGTGCTAATAATATTTAACTTATTTTATGATCAAGTCATTCCACTGTAAGCATGTGAATTGAATGTACTTCAGAGTTCTAAACAATTGATAACAGCAATGTTACAATTTCTTCAATAGGTACCCACCTGTGAAAGAAAAAAAGTAAAATGAAAGAACAGGTATTTTGACATGGCTGTGTGAGTATGCTACAGGTAACCACAACAGCTATAGTGTCCAGTACTTCCTTCTTTACTTCCCTTAGGTAACCAGCTTCCAGTATGGTCCCATGGGACAGCAAGATTGTAAGCAACTGTAACTGTTGAATTATAAATTATAAATTCAAAAGCACAAGAGAAAACGATCAGGGAACCAGAGACTTGTGTCTGCGCTCTGGTATCACTTGATTGCTTGAAATACTGTAGCATGATACAAGTATATGAAATTCATTTTACATAATAGGTTGTCTAGAGGCTGTGTTTGAAACCTGGGTTTATTAGTCAAGGTTAACTCAATGTCTTTTTCTTCAACAATTGTTCCTTTCCTTTACTGTGTGCATTTGTTACATACATTTTATGTATGCACAGAACTAAAACCTCTGGGTGATCCACAGATTCTGAATGGATATAAACAGTAACTGAATCCTAAGGTTCCTGAAAAGAAGTACTAGTTTTTTTAACTTCCTTGACTGAGCAGTAGGGTTTCCTTGACTCTATTCTTATGCAACGTTGCCTTGGCAACGTATTCATGGTGAGCCATCACAGTGTCTATCTAATATTGGCTGCTCATGAAGAAAATGAAAACATACTCCTTAAAAGGAAAAACTATAATAATTATCTGGGTTTATGTGCTGATTAGGAAAATAATTAGAAGCCTTGACCACTTTATGAGCTTGCAAAAATCCCTTTGAACAGATATTGACCCAGAGGGCATTGACTTGGATAGTGTGCACTGAACAATTTAATTATTTATGCTTTCATCTGGAGTTCACTTAGCTTCAAATATTTTTAAAGGTGAGGAAAAAGTCTAACAGAAGGTTTGTGGTTTAGCAGGTACACCATGGTAAAAGAGCAAAAAACTGATAATTGAAACACATGGCTACAGAATCACTGAGGGTTCCCCAATGGCGTGATGTGTCTGGAGATCCATGGATTGTGAATTCCCACTTGGCCAAGGGGCTGATCTTACAGTAGCTATCAACTCAGTCTGCAAACTTATCCATGTTCTCAAGGGCTATAGAGGGCAGATTCCCGACACTAGATTATTTAATCATCCCAGGGAATCCCGGACATACAACTGATGAGACCAAGAAGATATCACTCAGTTTTGGCTTATTACGAAAAAATAAAACACTTAACCATGACTTGAATGAGAAGGTAAGTAGATAAATTGATTTGTTTTCAGTGTCTCAAATACTATGATATTTATGCAGCCAATAAACTGATAGAATCAAAGGTCCCATTATTATATGGTGCATAATAAAAAGCTTATACTGCAAATATATATACAATATACTAAATATATAAGTGCAGGGCTTAGGCAGTTTTCTTGACTAACATCAAAGGCTTTGTGGTCTTCAGAATGACTATTTTTTCAGGTAAATAAAGGGTGTAAACATCTTCATTTCGTACTTTAAAAAGTGAAAAAAGCAAACAATTATTTTTAGTTCCAAAGTGAAATGTCAAGAATGCAACCAGCCGGGTTTTCACCAGAGATCCAGAGAATAATTACTGTGCTGCGTGTTTCCGTCTGGGAGACGACAGCCAGCTCTGATAATGAAGAGACCTGGCTGGTCTCAGGACTCTGCACTGCCTCTGATCGTTTCCCCAAAAGCCTGCCTCTCACCAAGACATACAGCCCCCGTTCGGCGGCAGGCTGCTCTCAGCGAGCAGCAGACTGGCTGTGATTGCAGACAGAGGTATTTAATCTTCAATTCTCTTTCCTCTCCCAAGCACAAACTGCCATGCGGGTCACAGAGGCTCCATCATTTGTGCGTTTCTCTCTCTCATTAAGACGCCTTTAGATAGGCCTAATTGCAGCAATAATTAACAACTAAAAAAGCACTTGAAGTTCCCCCAAAGAAAAATAAAACACCTGGTAATGAAAGCAGCCACTCTGGATTATAGCTCTTAAACAAGAACTGTCAGGGCTACTTTGATTCTGAGCTCTTCAGAAAAGAAGGTCTTATAAAGTGGTGCTTTTGTTTCTTGCACAAAACTAAAAGATTGCTTGCAAACTTTGGTTAAAGTTTCCTTTTTGTTGGGGATCTGGTGCTAAACCATAACTACTTTAGTACATAAAAATGATATACCTTGATATTTCATTTGATAGATTGAGGGACGAGACAGTGTTAGGTTATTGGAGGGATTGGCTCATTTCTTAGCTGATATTTTTTTATTATAAAAGACAAAATAAATGTTATGAACTGTACATTTTTGCAACCTATCCTTTGTTTCAAACACTGGACAGCAAGGCCCAATAACTTTGCTTAATAGGGCACAATACTGAAAGAGGGGCCTAACTACCTCCTTTATGGGGACTACAGTAGGTATGATGTCCATTGGAGATAAAATTAAAAGTAACCAGTTAAAATTATCTTGCATGTCTTTGGGCACAAGAGAAAACCCACACAAATGGGAGAGGAACATACAATCTTCACACAGACAGTTCATTGAGGATAAAATTTGACCAAAGAACCTGGAGCTTTGAGGCAGAATTAATTCCCTCCACACCATGTCAGCTAATAAATACCATACCTGTAAAATGTGACACGTTCTGCTTATTTCACATAGATGTGCTACGTAAATATATGTCATTGAATTGAGCTTCAGAGGATAGTAAAATAAAGGAATGTTTTTCTCTGTTCCATCAAGAGCACAAAGGCATTTTCACGTCATCAAAAAGAATGTCATTAAATATTTGGCAAGTATGATTTGAGAATAGCAAAAAGATTAAAACATTATCCACTAAATTTTTCTTAAACCTAAGGTGTATACTGTGTTCCAGAGAAGGCTATTGTACCTGGATTACTGATCACTGTCGCTGCAGGCAAATTAGCTATGAGAGATGCGATATCCTTTAAAAAGTGTTTGCTTCTTTGTTCAGGAGTGGTTGGAGCCCAGTCTACAGACTCACAATGAGAAGGGAGTGTTCTGGTTTGCGAGTCATATCTAAAGTTAGAAATATCTAAGTTAGTTAGAATAAGTTAGAATGGACTAATAAAAATGCCATAATTGCCAATTTCACAAAGCCTTAGAAAAGTTCACCTTGTGCTTATTGGTATTAAAGGTAGTTGATACCTTTAGTTGATACCAGTAGTTGTAGCAGGTAGTAGTAGTGGGTAGTTGATACCAAATGGAAGATATTCAGTATTATATTATTATGGAGGGAGAATCAGAGAATTCGATTACTGAATATCTAAGGTAAAAAGATTGACAAAAATGTTATGATCTCAACAATGTTAGTAACAGATAAACTATCTGTGCCACAACCGTAAGCCCCTCCTCTTAATGATGCTCCGGCTCTTTTTTGTTTGTCTTGATATTTTGCACCTGCCCCCTGTTCCAGCCCCTTCCTACAAAAGCCAGACGCTCCCACCATTCCAGGCTCAGCTTTGGAAGATGGACGCCCGGAAGCTCGCGTACCAGTGAGTCCAGGAGAGGCTCGACGGTATAGGCTTCGCAACAGTGTCCTTACCATCTGGGTCTGTGGCTGGGATCGCCTGGCTCCGTTACCCCTTTTTATTCCCCCGACCCTTCGCCAGATCTTGCTCCTGCTTTTAACTTCTTTCATGTCTCTGTCTTGAATGGATTATCTGGCTATGGACTCATGCCTACTCAGGATTCCCTTTGGACTTGTTTGCCTTGGCAACGCCCCCCTGAGCACCAGCGCACCGTCGACACGTCCCCCTGGTCTTCTTCCAGCCCCGATTCTAGTCTTCTTTCCCCGTGTTTGTTTCACTCCCCTCCGGATTCTGCCGTCTGCATAGAGTCATGGAAAACGCTTTGTGACAATCTGTAAGACTTTCAAGGTTTGTCTATCATCAAAGCTGAAGACTAATAGAATAGTTGTTTACCTACCACTTACGGTAAAAGTACCTATGATTTGCCCAGATGTACAGTCAGAATAGCAGTTTATTAGATTAATTTATACCCAAGAGAAACAAGCATCTTCTAAAATAATCTTCATCCTCAGATGAATCTCGAGTGTACAGAAAAGATCCATGGCAACATGAAAGGATAAGACATACTGTACACTTGAAAAATCAATTGACTCCTAAGTTAAACAGAACCAAAATGCAGTAGGACAAAACACAATTTAAAATTGTTTTGCATCCTCTTAGTTAGAACTAAGGAACACAGGTTTTCAAGTTTTGAGTTGTTTCTATAAAAAAATATTGCATGGACATCTGGATTTCTATGTGGATGTTTTATCACAGAGATAAATATCCATCAATTCATCAAGGGCATGAACACATTTTTAAACTACTGTACTATATACAGCATGTTTACACTGTTAGAATGATAGATTTTAATGATGAACGGAATTCGTTGTTTGGGAGTTCCTTTTACATGAGCTACTGTATGCAATGTTTGTATCATTTTGTGGGATCACAGCATTCACAGGATTTATTTTCTTGGAATGAGAATAATGCTTATAGTATAAAATCTCCAGAAAATTGAAAATATTAAATCTTGATACTTGATATTTTGTACTGTCCAGGAACACTTGATTGCAAGGAATACAAGAAGACAAAGAGTAGATGTATAGATCACAGCCTTCAACTTTGCTTGCAGTGTTTCTCTTCTCTAGGCCTTTGCCACTTTCTTCTGATTAGGTTGTTTCTGAATTTTTCAGGACATTTTT